CTTTCATGATCTTTCTACTATATATGATTCAATATATTCTCAAGTTTTCCCTACTATTTATGTATATATACATTTCTCGCATTTCAGAGAAAAACTTTGTTGCGACTGATGTGGTTCTAGCAAGTGAACTACTTATACCTGTTGACATGGTTCAAGTTAATTGTATATATGTAGTAGGATCTCTAATTAATTAGCCTTTCTTAATGATCTTTCTTCTTTTCCATAATCTTTATCCCTTCAAACATTTGATCATGTCAACTTTACTAAGTTATTTATCAATTAGTTTTCATATTGAGTGATGTTAACTGTTCTCGCATGTAAGCATGTGGGTACTTGGTAGATATATATATATATATATATATATATATATATATATATATATAGGCTTCTTCACCCTAGAAATGGAATTTACCAGGAATCTAGATCATGAGTAATTTCTGTACAATTTATGATCCCCACTTCTCTTTAATCAACCACTATCCTAGGAGGCTCTCGCCCACAAAGATGATCGATTCGTTTATTTATGTTTATTCATTTCTTTTCTGCTTTGATCCTCTCCACTGCCCACCATCATCCCCACAACTCCACTACTTAATGTAGCCATAACTTACAAAATATTACCTTTAGGTATCATGATGTTTTGCGTTACTCCGACCATATATATATGCCAAACTCCTCATTTAGAATCTTTTTTTTTTCTTGCCTTTTTCATTTTTCAAAGTGGTCCAATCATGCATCATGAATTATACTACATATGCATATAATATTTACTTGTATCGTGACAATTTAATTTATTTATGTTAGCTAACTGAAGAACGGGGAAAGAGAGTGAATTGAGAAAGAGATATTGGTGAGGTTCAATCCGAAGACGGATCTTTACGAGGTTTTGTATTTTAAAGGACGATCTCAGATTGAGCCGCGCCAATATCACTTATCTTCCCTTTTCCCCCCGTCTTCTTATTCAATCTCTTTATATTTAAAGTTCTATAATTACGGTTTTTTGTTAATTTTTTTTTCTGTTTACCCTAAAAAGCTACTTACTACTGTTTCATTTATTGCAAATTGCAAGCATGACTTCTTTTCGTCGATTGTGTATTTTGTGAAGTTCAAAAGGGTGAATCATCCATTAGTGTACAATCAGACTAACTAGGTAACATTTCTATTTGAAAGTATATTAATATGTTCTGTTTACGGTCTACATGTTAGAACGTATCAATATATGAATTTGATGATCACCGTATTAACTCTTGGCATTTACAATCGAGTTCTAAAACTGGGTTTGAAAGGGTACAAGTTAATCAATTTGTTTTCTTATTCCAAATGAAGAAACCGGAGAATAAGTCGATTTTTCCTTTGTACTATCTGACATATGCCTCACAGTTAACAAATCTTTTTTTCTTTTTCTTTTTCTTTTTTGGGGGTGGGATTTGAATCAATTAATTAGGCCGCAAATGTCTAATATGATTACACAGTTACTTTACATTGCGGGATAACCAGGACAAGCAGTCCCAAGACAAAGCCGATGAATTATACAGTCCCATTGCGGATTTGGGGCTCAACTAAGATCTCTACGGGTCTACCACATAAGGAGTTGAAGCTAATGATGCCATGATACGAAGTGAATTTTCTTGACCTTACGTATAGAACATATACATATTTCTTTTTGCTTATGAAAGGTTTCCATCTGTTCCAATTTTTTGTATGGTCTCTCTTTTTTTCCTTTTTCTTTTTTCTTTTGGCAATGGGTCCACGTCAGCGAAAATGACTAATTCCCAACTTCTCTGATTATGGCCTGTCAAAAAATATAAATAATTTGGGATCCCATCTCAAAACCAATTGGTGAGGTGACTTTTAAAACTTATATACTGAGTCACATCTCTTCACGATGGCGACGTGGGATAGATTACACCTTAATACCCTCCAATGGACTTGGATCAGGACAAGAACAAAATAGCCCACGAGTCAACGCTCTAATGGGAGAAACCCAGTTATACCACTGGATCGGTTCACAACAAGCCCACGAATCAACGCTCTAGTGGGAGAAAGCCAGTTATACCACTGGATCGGTTCAGAACAAGTCCACGAGCAATGCTCTAGCGGGAGAAATATGAGATCACCACAGGCTACCTTCGGCCCAGAATGTCACTACAGGCTCAGACCGCACTGATACCATGTCAAAGTATATAAGTACTTTGGCCTTCCATCTCAAAACCAATTGGTAATGAGTGAGGTGGCCTTTGGAACTTATATACTAAGTCACTTCTCGTCACGGTGGTGATGTGAGAATTACACCTTAACATGGCCATGGGGCAATGCATGATCACACATGCAGAACTATGGAAAATGATACAGCGGTTTCCAGCTTGGCGTAGGATATGGGGCCGAGAGGAAAGTTAGTTGAGTGCAATTGCATCATCCAGTTGATTGAAGAACATGGATGCCTAACCAAATCATCGTGCACGCCGGTATTGTTCAAGGCACCAGGGAACGTTTGAGTCGGGATTGAGAGGCTAAGTTAAAACTCCCTCCGTCCCAAAGTTTGGAATTTGTACTGAAAATAAAATTACGGAGAATCATTTAGGAATGGGAGGAATATTTATAGTTGAACCAGTTCCTCAACGAACTTTATGGTACCAGAAACCTTCAGTTTTTTTTTTTTTTTCCAAATCCCAACCTAAACTCAAGTACTCGAGGGAGGGGTCTTAACAACGTTTAGGTTATTCAGACCCGTTCCACCTTTTAAATACAGTTGTTCAAGAAATGAACAGCTGGATAAAATGTAATCCAACGTCTCGTCTTCAATGTCGAAATTAACCAGCTTCAAGGATGTTAACGAAGCAAAGCAGCTCTTGTTAATTAGGGAGTGGCGTTAATGTTAACAACAATTGTCAAAACGTGGAAAACTATAAAAGCAGGAGGATAAATCTCAGGGATATTAAAACGGGCCTTACAAGGGACCACGGCATTCCATTGCAGTGAAATCACCAGAAGCTTCCAGTTCAAGAACTCGCACTTGTGTTTGCACGGCGAAACGAATCCAATCACAAATCACAAGATCGGTGACATTAGGACATCGGAGCTGGTCAAGGCGAACGCTTAACTTATCTACGTTTGAATATCGATGCATTAATGCAATAGTATTGAATATCGATGCAACAAGACGCATATTCAAACCAATTCATGTTTGTTGATCTCATTGTTACTGGCTTACTGCTGGATCAATCATCAAAGTACTACAAGGAATTTAGACCAGTGGGAAGTGATCTATTTAGGTAAGAATTCATTCCGCACTCCTGGAATGATGTGGTTATTTTCCTGAAATGCATGTGTATTAATGTTAAATCTAAATTTATTTTGGGCTTGCTTAGTCATATATATATATACCAAGAGAAGTCTACGACTTGTTTAACAAAGTTGGTTGACCTTGTCATAAGTATTAGTCATTCTATGTGGACGAGATAGTCGACATATTGATTAAACAAAGTTCATCGACCTTGCCGTCAAGTAGACGACACAGTCGACATGGATGAGATATCGATGTTTTGTTTAGACAAAATTCATAGACCCTTGTCGTCAAGTATTCTATGTGGACAAGGATAACGTAGTCCACGATTTGTTCAAACAAAGTTAGCTGACTTTGTCATCAGTTATTCTATGTGGATGAAGTATGCGGTCCACGACTTGTTTAAACAAAGTTCGTCTATTTTGTCGTCTAGTATTATATGTTGACAAAATTAGTCGACGCTGTGTTTAAAACGTTCATCGACTTAATCGCCAAGTTTTCTATATTGACTAGTAAGTCGACGCTTTGTTTAAGCAATATTTGTCGACCTTGTCGTCGAGTATACTATGTCCACAAAAAAGTCGACGCTTTGTTTTAGCAAAGTTCATCGACCGTCAAGGATTCTATATCGACGAGATCTTCGACGCATCGTTTAAACAGAGTTCGTCAACTTCGTTGTCAAGTATTCTTTGTTAACGAGATAGCCTACGTCTTTTTTAAACAATGTTCATCAACCTTTTCCTCGAAAATATCAAGTCGGTATTGATCATATGTGGGTTAAAACAGGATGTAGCAACAAAAATATCACATGGATCGAGTTTTTTTTAGATAGATACTCTTGTAATTATGTCATGGCGTAGCCAAAGACAAACTCACCTAATGGAGAAACATCTACGGCTAAAACCTATCAAACGATGTAATATATATTTCGCTGCATGGTGCTCCAAATCTCGTGTATTTTGAGTACAAAGGGTGTTGTTATTTTTGATTTTCTTTTCTCTTCTTTTAAAGCAAATTGGTAAACTTTGTATTGCAAAATCAACTAATATTTCATCAAAAACCATACGACCCAAAACTCAGACACAAAATTAACTGCATCTATCTCTACAGATTAAACAGGCCAAAACGAGAAACTTGTAACTTAGCAAGCCAATTAAATTTCTTTAAAGTACTTTGATAAAAATATTAAAAAAAAATTCTTTAAAGTACACTATCTACAACAACTCACCAAATATTTTCCGACCTCGAAGGGTATGAGGTAGGAGACAGGGTACCTTGTTCACTCGTATTTTCTTTACTTTTTGGAGTTCTCATCATCTCCCTAACGCCATGTCAAGGTCATGACTATCATCAATCTATGATATATTTTAACCAAATGATGCCAAAAGCCTTTCACTCATGGGCTCAACACTTCCGAGTACTTCGCGCGCACCTTCACTCCAACCAAGACGACACCAACGCTCGGAAAGAGAAAATCATTCACCATTTCAACTCCTGCTGCATTTCGCAATCACCATCTCCACAGTATCTCTTTTTGCTTCAAAAATGAAAAAGTTTGATTATGGTTCCTCCAAATGCGGTAATTAAATTCCTACAATGATAGCAGCAAACAGTAACCTTAATTCGGCTTTACTCGTCCAAATATGCATCCACCTCCTTTAATTTGAAACTGGAGACCTAATATTTCTCAATTTTAATCACTTCATATGTAGTGGGGATGCGAACTGACAATTACAAAATTAGTGGTTCTGTAATTCAGAGGTCTATATTTACTTTTTGTGTTTAATTACGCACGTAGCTCGATTGAGTTTTGATCAAAATCAGGCAGAGAGTACTAATTCTGAGTTCGAAATCATTCATACAAAACACACGAATCATAGAGTTCAAACACACTGGCTGGAAAAGCTAAAAGCAATACCAGGACTTAAAAATGCTGCAAACATCAATCCAAGAAGCGCAAATCTTCTGGCAAAGTAATGTGGGAACTTTCCAACTCAAGAGATCACACACAAACTAGACTACATTCTGCTATCAACTGTTAGATCTCTATACTAAGTGTAACTATAATAAATATTTGAGAAAATGCAGAAAGGGACAGAAAAAGAAAATTGCAGAAGGGCAAACAGAACCATATCAACTGCTACATATATAATTAGGCCAGAAAAAAACATCACCAAATCTCGTCAACTTTATACTACAATGGCCTCAACATACATTTATGTTAGAAGCTTAATTATAGTTCATCGCTTTCGATTGAGCCATGCATGCCAGCTAGCTGAAGACCTACCGTTATTTACACAGCTGCTTGCCAGAATTCAATGGAGATTCTCTAACATTCTTCGCCTGATTATGATGGATCAGCTGGTGAATTGATCCAGAATCATTTTTCTTCTTTCGCCTTCCTGGTTGAGAAAAACGCGAGTGATAAGATAGTATTGCAAGATCATTGAGATCTTGAAGTGGAGTTAGAACTTTGACTACTTCATCCATTGATGGACGGGATTTAGGATCCCTGCTCAGGCAGTTGTATGCTAGCTGAGAGACCTTCTGAACTCCTTTAATCGAGTAATTTAGTTCCAGACGGGGATCCACAAGTTGGTACACTTTTCGCTTGTCAGCTAAATATGGCCTAGCCCATGTCACCAGATTTTGCTCTCCGCTGGGACGCTTTTTATCCACAGACCTTCGACCAGTCAAAATCTCCAAGAGGACGACACCAAAGCTGTAAACATCGCTCCTTGATGTCAGATGTCCTGAATGAATATACACCAGCCAAAAAACATACAATGAGATTTGTGTAAATCAGCTGTCCTAAACAGTTGCATATAACTAGCTGATAGCTATTTGAACAAGTTGATTCTTCAAAAGTAAAACAGAGTCCCCTGTCATAAAAGAGTGATTAAAATCTTCCAATTTGAACAAAAATATACCTGTCATCACATACTCAGGTGCAGCATAACCATATGTTCCTACAACCCTTGTAGAAACATGTGTTTTGTCTCCTTGAGGACCAGCCTTCGCCAGACCGAAATCTGAAAGCTTTGCATTGTATTCCTGTCAGAACAGTGATGCTTTTTAGATGTCAAGGCAATTGCACCACAGAAGAACTTTTGCTCTACAGAATTTAATTAACACGTACCAAGTCGAGCAAAATATTGGAAGTTTTGAAATCTCTGTAAATGACAGGCTCAGGACCTCCATGGAGAAAGGCTAATCCTTTTGCTGCACCAAGGGCGATCTTTATCCGGTTGGACCATGGTAGGGGTATAGTCCCTTCAAAGATTCAACACAATTCAGCACTATGAGTATGGAAGTGGAGAAAAGGCAGGAAAAAGCATGTCAAGACAAACAAATATTCAATAGCTTAATTAAGCACTTCCAATGGTGCACATGATCAAATGAAGTGGAGGATCCTTTTGGGTCCCAAATAGCTATCAAAAAAATGTAGATTACATCAGAGATTGTTGCTTGTTACTTTAGAGCAAAAGTGCAGAAGTGCGAAGCTAGGTACTGGTTCCGGACCTTGTATACAAGGAGTATATGCTCACAACGCAATGCAAAAATTGAAGAGGACAAAATTGATCTATCATGCTGATTTGAGGTGAATTATTCACCCCCTAATACGTCAACGCCAACATAGATTTTCTGTGTGTTACAACAGAAATGTACTATATAAGATAGATCACCATGAAACTTACTTCTGAAAAGATGATTTTCGAGGCTTCCCCGTGTCATAAATTCATAGACAAGCATCCTCTGATCATCTTCTATGCAGTATCCAATTAGTTTAACTAGATTAGGATGATGAAGCTGTCCAAGGAAGTCTACCTCAGCCTGCATATATATATAAAAAGACTCAATTCATTTTGTGTGGCCATATAATGATCTCAGTTCTTCTAGCCTGTGACATTATTCAACAGGTTAGCAAGGAATCCAGAAAATCAACTAACCACCCATTCTCTGTGGCCTTGAAGTCCATCAGGCTTCAGACTTTTGACTGCAACTGTGACCCCAGAACCAGGTTTGGCTGGAGCTGTCCCATTCTCCTCTATCCATCCCTTGAACACAAACCCGAACCCGCCCTCCCCAAGAATACTATCTGGCCTAAAATTTCCAGTTGCAGCTTTTAACTCTTGGAAACTAAACTGAAGCAGCTGTCGGGGCGGTTTACTCTCTGAAGGCGGAGGATCAGGACCTGGAATATCAGAAGAGTTCTTCGGTTCATCTGGAGCACACATCTCGCGGTTACTCGCATTCAGGTATCTCGTCTCTGTAGCTGCACAGAGCCACTCTTAAAAGTCAGCAGTATAAGACATTGAAAGCTTTATAAATTGTGGATTAGATCCATGTCTCCATTCATCTACTTATTTTGATTACATTTCTAACTTAACTCTCTACTCCCTCTGTCCGAAAATGAGTGTCCTCTCTAAGCTTTCACTTGTAGTACAGTTTCTACTAAAAATGAAAATCAAAACTGGACAATCATTTCGAGGTGGTATTTCCTTGGCTAAACTACAGTAAATACAACTCAAACAGCCAAATTCACCAATAATCTGGGCGATCATCTTGAAAGTCCAAATAACTAATTTGCATATGTTCCATCAGAGAATGAAACGAATGAGCAAATGTTTGTAGATAATTTATAATTTGTTTTGTTAGAGCACCAAGCATGAACCTATGTTTTATTCAACAACAATTCAAAAATTACTGATATGAATGACAATTCACTCACTATTGCTTTTCTGCTCAAATCTAAACATCAGAAGAACCTTGATATCCATGCAGATACAACAAGATTCCGGAGAATGCCTTCTCTAAATCATTACATGAGCAAAAAAAAACATAAACAAAAACAGGGGAACAAACAGAATGAATTTACATTTGCGTCTTTACACAGAATTGAGGCATGAAACTCTAACGGACCAGAATGGGACATAAAATAAGATTGATGGCAATACATAATGTGAAGAGGAAAACTTTCAATCATTATTTAGAAACTGAACGAGTTCAAGCAGAGACAACTGACAAAGAAGAATCAGTTTGTGATTGAAGCCAAAATCCAATCTTTCCGTATAATTATAGGAAAGTAAAAGTTCAGAGCATACCTGCATCATAAACAAGACTGGTTCTTGGGATTGTACTAACAGAATTTTTGGAATCAGAAGACTTGCAAGAACCTCTAACATTCCTTCTCAAAACAGACCAACACCCACACTTCCTCTCCATAAGGCCACCTTTTTCCAATTCTTTTTACTGCCTTAGCATTTCATGGGCTCAATAGAAAACAATTTGGTTTTTGAGATCATAAAAGAATAAAAACAAGAAAACAATCAGCATGCCCATATATGGGAAGGAAGAATAAAGAGGAAGAGAACCAAGAAAGAATAAAAACTGCAGGAAGGAGCCCAAAAAGACTATGAAGAAAGGGGAGAGAGAGAAAAGGAAAGAAAGGGGGATGAGAGGGAATTGAACTGATTGATGATATTGCTGTTGCTTTGTTCGATTGTAAGCATCATCATCACCATCATTCGCAGTGTGTACAAAAAGAACTTTTTTTTTTCCCACCACTTTTTCTGTGGGGAATGCCATTGCTAACCTTTGCTCTCATTCTCTGTCCTTTACTCCTTAGTCCTTAGATCTCATTCTAATTAATCAACTCTTATTAATCGACTCGTATTTTATGGTTACAAGTGGATTAAAAGGTACTACGTCCGTCTCAAAATTATTGTCCAGTTTGAATTTCAATTATAGTACAAGTTTCAAAATCATTGTCCAGTTTGAATTTTCAGTTTTTAGTACAAATTTATTTGTAAAACAGATAAACATATCAGTTTGGATTTTGGGACGGAGAGAGTATATCATCACGAGTGTCCAAAATACATTATTTGCAAAACATATCAACCATGTTTGTATTCATTATTATTAACATGTCATATTTTTGTGGGTTTCGAATTATTATTTTTCGTAGTGTCGTAAATTATCACAATTTACGTGTTGAAATTGTGAATAACCAAACCAAAAGGGCCTGCTTGAGCTGCCCCATTGAATTATTGAGTGGTTAATTTTGTTTGGTGAATAGTAAGTGGAAGAGATTCCATTGGAACATGCATGCATGCTTAAAATTGAATCTCTTTGTTGAGTGTTTTTTGAGGTTTTTGCAAGAATTTTGGCCTTTTTCGTTTTTTCTTCCCAGAATCAGCATTTTAGTATCAAGTTTCGTTATCCTAAATTCCCACTTTTTGCAAAAAGAAAAATCATTTTTTTTCTCTTCTTCGAACAAATATCTAGGAACCAAGGATCCCTTCCTGTATGACTTGATAGTAACATTATTTCCTACTCTCGTTTGGCAAAATGCTAAATATATACAATTATACATCTACATTAGCAACAAGAAAACCCTTTTATTTTCTTTATTTATTTATTTTTTCGCATTTCTCCAGAAGGCTTCTAGAAGAATTTCTTGAAATTTAAGCATGCAAGAATGGGGAAATTCTCCCGCTAGTTATGCAAAATCGAAATGATAAACCAACGACCAAACAAAGCAATCCAAAAGAATTGTGATGCGGTGGGGAGGGGGACATATTTCTTGATTCGTGATTAAGTATGTTTCTCGGGCCTCATGATCATCATTTCATTTCATCTCAACTCAATTATTGCTACTATTGTTATTATTATTATTATTACTATCTCCATTTTGAAAGATTTAATTCTGAATATATACCCAGCCCTACTGTACACTATACAGATAGCTTTTGGAGTGATTACGGGGACACAGATTGTGACATTTTAACGTTTTGAAAGCAACCGTGACAAGTTTTGAGTACATATTTTTTTTAATCAAATTGAACTAACATCATTTGTTTTGTAGGTGACAAGCATAACATTATTGTTAAAAAAGACAAATTTAAAAAATGGGGATGAATATTGTGTCCTATTCTTTGAAAGCGTTGATAAATACCAAGCTTAATCATCTATCTAACAAAGAGAGAGATGTGAAAGGTTCTATCAATTCCGTCTCCGGGGGAAAAAAAAAATAACATGACTTTTTTTAGACGGACATTAAAAATAATTTAACTAGTTTTTTTTTTTTTTAATTACCACAGTTGCATGAGCGAGTAACTCCTGAAATAATACGTTTGAATGAGCGAATATATTAGGTAAAATTAATTTCAGGAGTCAGGATTATTGTCTATCAATAGCGGTGATCTTCAACACCCCGCTTGAAATAACACGAATATTGATGCCTTTCATTTAAACATAACCTCAAACTGTACTAAAATATTCGACTTCGCCTACTGTCATTCAATCATTCATTCAGTGCTTTGGAGAAACTGGAAGTTAGTTTTAGATCTTGGTAAAGAAAATGCACCAAAACAAATATATAAACCATACATTCAACATTTCAACCCCACGACGAATGATTAGCCTTTTGAACTGGGATGGTGCATCTATGTTGTTGGTACAGTAAAAGCTAGCAGTTGGCACTTGGCAGTCGGCACATTCACTGTAAAGCTTCAAAGATTTTTTCTGTCATTTCATTTTTACTACTACGTTTGTTTTGTTTGGAAAGTTTTGGCTCACAGAAAAAATATATATTCGACTCAAATTAGGATAGTGTTAAAATAAAATGTTATTGGACCGGGAGGGTTAACAAAGATTTGAGGCACCGTTAGAAGGGGTCAAACTATGGCTTTATCATGATATAATCGGTGTAGCATACCCTCGAAATGTAATAGTTGATAATTAGACTTCAAGTCTCTCTCTTTATAACAAAAAAATAAAAAAGAAATAAAAATTAAATATTCACGCCGTCATGAAATTATTGTTCAATTTGGATTTCTATTTTTAGTATAAATTAAATTAATGTAGAAGACCATTTTCAGAATTTAGTCAAAATAAAATAAGACTAAACTGTATAAATGGTCCCTTACATTTGTCCGAATTTAAATTTTGGTCCCCTACATCAACATGTATATGGATTGAGCCTTTACATTTCATTTTGAAACTTTTTCGGTCTCTTTTCACTGTTCTGTCACCATTTCCGTCTTCATGACCGTTGACCCTACCAAGTTAGGGGTATTTTCGGAATGACACATATAAGATCAAAATAACAAATGTTTAAATGGTCCCCTACATTTGTCCGAATTTAAATTTTGGTCCCCTACATCAACATGTATATAGATTGAGCATTTACATTTCATTTTGAAACTTTTTTGGTCTCTTCTCACTATTCCGTCACCATTTCCGTCTTGATAACCGTTGACCCTACCAAGTCAGGGGTATTTTCGAAATGACACATATAAGATCAAAATAACAAATGTTTTTTATAATAAAATAGAATAAAATATTAAAAATTATTATTTTATAATAAAAAATTAAATAATTTAAAAATTAAAATAAAAAATTAAAATGATTTCAAATTTCAAATCTTTTTTTCACTTCCCACCTTTGTGGTCCCACATGCTAGTCAATTTTTCTCCTTTTTTGTTACAGTAAAAAAAATCAAAATTAAAAAGCAAACTTACCTTCACCCTTTTTTTTTTACTTTTTAATTTTGATGGGTGACGGTAAGTTTACTTTTTAACTTTGCTTTTTTTTTACTGTAGAAAAAAAAGGGGGAAATTGAGTGGCATATGAGACCCACAAAGGTGGGAAGTGAAAAAAAAAATTTGAAATTTGAAATCTGAAATCATTTTAATTTTTTTATTTTTACATTATTTAATTTTTTATTATAAAATAATAATTTTTAATATTTTATCCTATTTTATTATAAAAATATTTTTTATTTTGATCTTATATGTGTCATTCCGAAAATACCCCTAACTTTATAGGGTCAACGGTCATCAAGACGGAAATGGTGACGGAACATTGAAAAGAGACCAAAAAAGTTTCAAATTGAAATGTAAAGGCTCAATCCATATACATGTTGATGTAGGACCAAAATTTAAATTCGGACAAATGTAGGGGACCATTTAAACATTTTTATTTTGATCTTATATGTGTCATTCAAAATACCCCGACTTGGCAGAGTCAACATCATCAAGATAGAAATGGTGACGGAACAGTGAAAAGAGACCAAAAAAGTTTCAAAATGAAATGTAAAGGCTCAATCCATATACATGTTGATGTAGGGGACCAAAATTTAAATTCGGACAAATGTGGGGGACCATTTATACAGTATGTTACATACCAAAGAAAAATGCATCTCGTGCTCCTAAAGTTGGGGTTATTTAAGTAAATTTAACAAAGGCCGGGAAGCGAATCCATGTATGATTCTGTGTGGTCAAAACTCATAAACAGGGAAAACAATATGGTCAAGAGAATATTTGAGTGCAATCCAATCAATCTCTACATCTTTCATCTCTCTCACACACTTTAAGCATATGGGGTAGTGGATTTTTTATTCGGAGATGGAGGAAGGGGAAATGGGTGCCATTGCCACCTATGGTATTGGTACTGGTTGGTGTGTGCCATATACTCTTCCCGTTCTAATTACAAAGTATCAATTTAAACTAATTTTGATGTTAATTTATACTTTATTTTAAGGATCAGGGGATTATTTATTTGGTGAATTTTCGTAATGGTTGAAGTGAAAATTGATTATCAACCAAGTAGATAAGAAAAAAATTACAAAAATTTAATGAACTCGAAGCTAGGTAAAACACCCTAAAGAAAGAATGAAAATTTTCAAGTTATGCACGCATTATTATTTTTAAGGAAATTGCAAATGAAAAAATGACAACCTCTATCATTTTATATCCATTTTACATTTTTCAGATTTATGTTTGAACGTCGTTATTGAAAGCTATATATTATTTTTATTTCATGTTAAAGTGTATTATCTGTCCCACATCGCCATCATAAAGAGAAGTGACTTTGTATATAAATTTCATAGGCCACTCCACTCATTGACAATTGGTTTTGAGATGGAAGTACAAAATATTTATATACTTTGACAATCCATTTCAAAATAACGATAATGTAGTATTAAAATGATATTATAATTGAATATCATTAAAATGATAACATATGCATTGATAGAAAGGGAAACAGATGGTATTAATAGAAAGGGCAAATGGGTCATGGGTGGCTTGTTGAGGAGTCTTTTCATCCCGCATCAACCACCCGGTAAAATGATTTTTTATTTATTTGTTTTTTTTTTAAATCCCGTGATGGAGTATATGAAGAGAAATTCGAGAGATTTGGTACTATTTGTACTGTGAGGAGATCCTATTCTATTCGATTTATTTCTTTTGATTTCCTTTTTGTTTTTGGATGACAAAAACACCTTGCAAGTTGTAATTAACTTGACAAATGCCTTGCTGGAAAAAAGAAGTGATACCATTTGCCCCCACTATTTCAATTGAATTCCATTACCCCCATCATTTCCACAAACCAACACGATAAATTCTCTTTATTTTGGATGCCGTTTCGCTTGTGGCTCTGTGTGTGTGTTTTTGGTGAGTTTATTTGTAATGGAGGTAAGTATTTGATTATCTAAAGTATATGGCTTCAAAATAGTTTACAATAAGCTGCAAGTAATTGTATAGGATAATGTAGTATTAAAATGATATTATAATTGAACATCATAAAGAGAAGTGACTTTGTATATAAATTTCATAGGCCACTCCACTCATTGACAATTGGTTTTGAG